AGGGAGAGGTCGTCCCCTCATAGTTTTAGTCGATGAGACCACACAAAGCGCTCCCTCCCACCTCCACATGGTGTGTCCTCTTCTTTATACGCCTTCTCGTCTAGCCTCCTCCATGTCTCCCCCTCCTGCGTTTGTCATTCCCTCCATCCTCACATCCCTCCATCCTCACATCCCTCCATCCTCACATCCCTCCATCCTCACATCCCTCCATCCTCTTCCTCGTCTTCTGTCCTAGTCTGCTGGTTTGTGTCAGTGTGTGCATGTGAGTGTGTGTCATTGTGTGTGTCCTGTCTACACAGCTGTGTGTGACGCTGCCTCTTTTTTCTCTGCCTGAAGGCTTTTTATTGAATTACCGGGACAAGATGGAGATAACCTTTGACCTCTGACAAAGAGTTAGTGGCTCTTATTGGTCGGGCCGTGTCCTTCACGTAAAATAATCTTTATTAATCCTCCGTAAATCCACACAGATTACATCTGCCCCCCTCCAAGACAGACAATTCAACCCGGCCGAGCATTTACAACACACACACACACACACACACACACACACACACACACACACACACACACACACACACACACACACACACACACACACACACACTAGCCCTCACCTAGTTCATAACCCTGTGAACAATGACTTCATTGGTATTGTAGTAGTTGTATTACATATGACATCACTGGGAGTTTAAGAAGCATCAATGAGTTGGTTTTTGTTTTGATTTGTTAATTTTTCTCTTTTTAACTTTAACTTTTATTTCAGCGTTTTTTTCCAAAGCAAAAGAGTAGAGAAAATGATCAGAGAAACAATCAAGTAGTCTAGAATAACCATAACAGCAGCAGACCAAGGACATGAATACCCAAATTAATAATAATCAATATTTTAAATATCACATATAAGATCAATAAAGACATATTTATAACACAAATATTATCGGAAAATCAATCAATTACTTTTGTGTGTATATACATGTTGCATTCTGGGAGTTCTGCCGGGGTTCACAACTCCGCAGGATGTTTGTTAGCGAGCGCGAGTGAAACGAGCTGCTTTCTGATTGGTCTTGTTTCGTTCACTACATAGCTGTGAATAAATAGTGCTGTCAGAGGCACATATCAAAATCATGGATTAATATTCAAGGCTATGAAAATACCCTGATTGACAGGTCTCCAATAGAGCATGAAGCAGGGGATGCCTGAGGGCGGGGCGACACGCTGATTGACAGGTCTCGACCGCAGTTGTATTCGGTCCTCCTCAGTCCTCGTGGTCACCCCTCTCACCCCGGGACAAAACCTGTTTGTGCCCCTTCCATCTGCAGGAGGCTGAGGTCCATCAGGAGTAAGACCTCATCACCAGAGCCGGACCCCCACTGACTGACTCTGACATCCCGCCGCTCACTCCCTTCACACTTCATTCAGCTTCACGTTCACATGCAGAACTTTCTTATTCCCTGGGGGGCCACAGAGGCCCTTCAGTCTGAGCCCAGTAATCTGCACACGAAGCTCTGGTGGAAGGAGGCGAGCAGGAGGAGAAGAGTCGCGCCGTTATGAGTAGAGACTAATGAATGTGCTGCATCACCGTTACGCCTCCTCGTCTCTGACTCACACAGACACACACACACACACACACACAGGCACTCACAGACACACACACACACAGACACACACACACAGACACCTGATGATGAAATACTGACGCACTGCAGGTCAGAGATGGAGAAACAAAGGGAGAACTCGTCCCTCCAGGAGAGAACGCTGCGGCGTCTGGACGAGAGCAAGTCGATGGGGGGGGGGGCGGGTCGGGTGGGGGGTGGGAGATGTCATTGGCTGACAATCAGTAGCTAGCATCCGTAGCTTTCACCGGCTCCATGCTCGTGTATGTTGTTGTTCTTACGAAGTCTGCTGTGGTCTCTGTGAGGGATGGTAAGAGGTCGGCGGGGGGTCGGCGAGGGGTCGCGGGGTCGGCGGGTCCCTGACTGGATGATGTACCGTGTTGTCTCTGCAGGGCAGGATCACAGCGAGGCGGCTCTCGTCAGGCGTTTTAGGGGCGAAGGCGTCCGCTACAAGGCCAAGCTCATCGGCATGGACGAGGTCGCCGCCGCCCGCGGAGACCGACTCTGCCAGGACTCGATGATGAAGCTCAAGGTAGGAAGAGACTCCGCCTCCTTCTACTTCAAACCGTAGACAGGAAATCCTCCTCTCTGAGTGACAGCTGTGTTCCTTGTGAGGCTGTGAGTGAGGTTGTGTGTTCTTCTACACAGTATTAGTGTGTTACTGCAGTAAATCTGTGAGAAGAGATGATGGCATCACCATCTGACGGAGAGCTGGAGATAATCTCAACACATTCTTCATTTAATCTTAATTTTAGATTATCGTGGGTTCTGTAATCAGAACATCACTTATTTACTCCGTTTCTCCAAAACCTCTACTCTATCTGGGCTGTCATTCTAATAACCTGTTGATATTTATTATTAATATGACACATGTCATGTTGCATGTCACATGAGGTAAGTAGGGCTTAGATTAGGAAACTAATCGTGTATTTGGAGATAAACATGTGGTCGTGTTGGAGGTGGAACATGTGGAACGAGCGACTCTTCCTGTCCATCATTTAACGGCTGTAATTGAAGAGCCAACAATTGCGCGTCCGTGTGTGTGTGTCCCCACATTTAGCAGGACGTTTTCAAACCACCGTCTTCTAGGGACACAGTGGTTGTCCTCTGCAGGCCAGATGTTGACATGGAAGTAGCCTAGCAGCTAGCTCAGGCGTCTCCATCTCCAGCTACCATCTCGCTCTCCGGTGTAACGGAGTGCAGCAGCGGCTTCATTTCTGGGGTTAATTTTGTTTACAACGAAAGACCAGAAGTAAACAACAAAAGTTGCGTTAACTGTGTTAAAATATCTCGGCCACATTAATCGTTGGTGTTGACAGCCAGATGTAAGCCTCCTCTGTGACGCCAACGAGGGAGAAGCGAGGTGGTGACCTGTGTGTGTGTGTCTGTGTGTGTGTGTGTGTGTCCTCAGGG